AAACTCAACAAAGCTTGGCTCCCAGCACTGAAAAATACAGCCTGCAAAGGGTCAACAAACTTTACCCAGCCGCAAGGACTGGTAATCACTACACACAAAAGACCAGCTAACAACACCCATCAATCACAGTGACAGATAATCTTGCCTCCTCATCACAACAGTACACCCACAACAAGACACACTAATCACCCATCCCTTGAATAGGACAAAAGCCTATCTCACAGCCATAAATACTCCACTCCCAAGCCAACTACACCAGAGCACAGAGTGCTGTCCTCTGAAGATGGCCATGGCCACAGAGACTGGCGAAACATCAGGAAGAACAACCTCCAGAACACGGCCAAAGAGCCCGAAAAACCCACAACAACCATTAGATCCCGGCCGTGAAAGCCTTCACGAATACAGAGAAAATGTTGCCTCTTTTAAGATAAAGCACTGAACATTGCAACAAAGCATGGGTGTTACGAACATCAGGCGATGTCTGTTTTGTACTCAGCTGAATAATCTATTGAGAATTAGATGGTAAAGTGTCAGTAAGTTTTCTTTGATCAAGAAAAAGGAATGTTGAGGTCCTTTGGGTACCTGGCTGTGGAGTCAGAAGTCGGGAGTTGAATTCTGCACCACCAAGCCGTGTGTGCCTCTGTGTAGTCTTGGGCAGGTTACACAATGATCCTGGAGCATTCCCAAAAGAAGAGAACAGAACATTTCTAAGTAAACTCTTTTCTTGAAAACTTTTGAACAGGTTGCTGTACATCTGAATTGGCTGAAGGCATGGGATTGCAATTATTATTTTCAATAATTAACATAGAAAAAAAAGGCTTGATGAACAGACGCGATCCTGGAGGGGGTGCATGAAAGGGGGTTTTCAGTGATGACCAGTCATGAACACGGAGAGATGCCTCGGGGGGGGAGGGTGGGGGCAGTTGCTGCCTCTCAGGTAAAGGAAAGGTGCTAGTTTCAGCTGAAGGAAATTCCCAGGGTGTCTCTTTTCCCTTTCACCTTTGACATTTACTTGCCTTTCCTTCAGGAATAATACCTATTCCCCACATTTTGTGTTCACATATGCTATACGATTTAATCTTGCAGAACGTTAGTAGTGAAGCCAGATCCTTGCCTTGAGAGAATTTGAAGTGGTTGCCCTTGAGTCCTTTGGAGGCTTCTCCGTGTGCACGGGTCAAATATGCGGCAGAAAGACTCAGCTAGCAATTCAGCCGAAAGACACCACTGTGCCATCCAGAATAGAAGGAGTGTGGAATTATGGGAAAGAAAGAGGCAGAGTGTCCTGGATGAGAACATGAGCAGCTCAGACATGCAGTGCCAGCGCTTCAGACAGTTTTCCTACAAGGAGGCAGTGGGTCCCCGAGAGGCTTGCACCCGACTCCACCTTCTTTGCCGTCGCTGGCTGAAGCCAGAAAGACACACAAAAGCTCAGATCCTGGACTTGGTGATCCTGGAGCAGTTCTTGGCTATCCTTCCCCCGGCACTTCAGAGTGAGGGAATGTGGAGCGGAGACCAGTTCCCAGGCGGTGGCCCTGGCTGAAGGCTTCCTTCTGAACCAGGCAGAGGAGAAGAGAAAGGAAGCGCAGAAGGTGAGAGAGCATTTCCTCCCGGTGATTATGAATCCAGGATGGGGAGTATATGGCCTCTGTCCCTCAGTGGGCTTGGGTGAAAATATGCCCTTGCTTCTGAAGATTGTGCACTCTTCTTCTACGAGGGCACAATCTTGGGAAGCAGGGGCACAATTTCTCCTCATGTCAGAATCTTGGGCATGACTATCCCTTTTTTTTGGCTTTTCTTTTTCCAAATTCTTGGATCCTCAACTGCTGTTCCAGATCAGAAACTTCTCAAGGGAGGGTCGGTGTGATTTCCTTGCAGCAGAGAAGGCTCCGTTGGACGGCAAACACAGTGCGCTGCCAAGAAAAGTTGAATGTGACGGTGACGGAGATGCCCCCTCAAAGGGTAAGGATTCCCTGGCTGGGAGGAGGGGTGGCATGTTTGTCACGGCGCTCTTTCTCGGAAGCATGCGAGAGATTGTTCTTCTGATAGGGGAATGGGAACTACTTCCCACCAGCCTCTTTCTTTCTGTCTTTCAGAAATGTGTGTTCATTTCTGGGCCTACAGTCAAACGAGAGAAGCAATTTGTTTTACCCAGATGAAATGAGGAATAGTTGGAACTACCCAAATAAATGAGTAAATAAAATAAATAAATAAATAAAAACAACCATAAACCAAATAAATGAGTAAATAAAATAAATAAAAACAACCATAAGTGATTGGATTGTTCTGTGCATTTTCTTATTAATATATTGATCTGCAAATGATATTTCTATCCCACACAACCTCCAATAATAGGCTCAAGATCTCACGGCTCTGCTCCTATTTTATGTATCTTTACAACAATAGGCCTGTGAGGTAGATGAGGCTGAGAGTAAGGGACTTGCTCCAGATCACTGAGGCAGTTCCCGTGGCATAATAGGAACAAGGATATGTATCTCCTGAGTAGCAACTCAATGTCCTACTGTGGTTTCCAACCTTGGGTGCCCAGATGTTCTTGGGCTACCACTCCCAGAAACCCTGGCCACCACAGCTAGTGGTGAAGGCATCTTTAACACTGCTTGCACAGTCTGACAAAACAGGTCTCTCTCTCTTTTATTTGGATCTGAGTCCTATCAGGTTGACAAAGGCTTATGTTCTGATCTGTGTTCCTGGGACTGCAATTGTTAATCACAGAGACAGGTTTATGGGGCTGTTTTCGTTTCTTCTTCAGGGGATGGAATGCTGTTCGGAACGAGCTGTCCTTTGCCTCTTCTTCTCTGTGGTGGCAAAGAACCAAAGCAGGTAAGGTGCAGAGGAGCCCTTTCTATGCAGAGGGCAGAAGGAGAGAAAGAAAATGATAAAGGAGACAAAGAAAATGATAAAGCCAAAAGGCCTCTTTAACTCCTTATCCTATTTCCAATAATTGATGGACTTGGGATGTCATTCTTGAAAGGGAATGTCGAAATCCTAAGACCTCTCCAGCTTCCCCAAGTTTAACAGTGAAAAAAAAAAAGCGGGGGGAAGGATTTGTTTTAATATGATAAACAGCTTCCCCCTCTCACACATTCCTGGAAGCCTTCTGAAGAAATAGCTTTCACTTTGTGGACCTCAAGTGTCTCCCCAACCTGGTTCAATCAGGGGGAAAAAAGGAAGCTGGACATGCCGTCTGGTTGCTTCTTGTTTGCATCTTGTATAATTTATTGTTTTGGTTTACATCCTTGAATGGTCCCACTTGATTAGTTCTAACCCTGGTCCTGCCGCTAAAGGAAGTACATTTTTCCTCTCCAAACCCTCAACGTCCTCGTCAGGCACTGATAGGAAGTCTGGGAATTGGACTTGAAGGCCTTCCGCTCCCACTGTTGTTCTCAAAGTGGAATTGAAAGGCATGTGGTCTCTTGTCCTTGAGGGGCTATGGGGGTCCCTCAATTTAGCAATTTGCAGCAACAACTTCCTTTTGGAAGACTGTGAATTCCCCACTCAGAAGTCCTGTGATATAAATCCCAGCCACCTTTTGATCACACGTTGTAATCGATTCTATAAGCAGGAAATGTTTCCTTTTCCGCCAGGCTGTGGTGACCTTTGAGGAAGTGGCTGTGGATTTCACCCTGGAGGAGTGGGCGCTGCTGGATCCAGAGCAAAGAGCCCTGCACAGAGAAGTCATGGAAGAGAATCGTTTGTTTGTAGCCTCTCTCGGTAAGTCTCCCTGTTTCCCTGGTTTGCACTAAGTGTGGTAACACGAATAGCTAAGTCAGAGCAATGATCATGAGCTGGTGCTCTAAGTCAGAGCGCCAGCTCATGGGAAGGCCTTAAAGAAAGGTTGGGGAGTTCCTGGAGGGTCTCACAGCATTGTTGAATCCCAGATCCTGTGGGATATATTACGTCAACCTTGAGAGGCACATCTTGAGTTATGAAAGAGATTTTGATGGATGGGAAGGCCTTAAAGAAAGGTTGGGGAGATCCTGGAGGGAGGTTGGGATTGTTGAATCCCAGATCCTGTGGGATATATTACGTCAACCTTGAGAGGCACATCTTGAGTTATGAAAGAGATTTTGATGGGATAACCCTGAAGGTGTCCTTACACAGCCTAATGTGATGAAACAAGGAAAGAGAAAGACGCAGGTTAGCTGGATGTTCTGGGAGAGGAACACAGAATGAGCTACATTACGAAAGTGAGTTCTTTTAAGAAAAAAATGTAACTTTGAGTTCATCTTGAAGAACAACACAACAAGATTCTTTTTCTACTGCAGATGGTGGGGGAGACATTTCAGGAGCCACAGGACCCCTTGAACTTCCTGTTACCTTCACACCACTTCAAGGTAATGGGGGGGGGAAGCAGCAGTGCTTAACAGGTTTCTGTTCTTTTCGAACAGAGAGGGGATGAGAGTCTACAACATTTCTATGGGGAGGGGATACGTGTGCCTCCCCAGGGCCATTGTAGACTGCACATCCAAACTGTATTGGGAGGAACTGACTCCCCCAAAGGGCCACTTTTCCTTGAGACATAATGTTGACCTTTGCTACTAGGCCTTTTCCCAGTATAGACAAGGCCCAAAGATAGGCAATTGTTGCTCCTCAGGAGACTCCTTCACTTAAGGAGCCCTTCCCTGCAGCTGAGAATTAAGCTGAGTTTCTGTCTTCCGTCTGTGCCGCTTGAGTTGACAGGGTGGAGTGGGGTTTCTTGTTCTTTGATTCAGCACAGACCACCATCAGCTATATGCTCAGAGCATCAGACCTTTGAGAGTTGTGGGTCTGCACAACCTGGCAGCTCTTCCCCGCCCCCTCCCCCATGTCATGCCCTGAGGGTGAGATTCATAGTCACTGGAAGGTTTTTCTGAAGAGACTATGATCGAAGTTCTGGACTAAGGGAGTTTAGGAGATCTCAGGCTAAACACGAGCCAACAGTGTGAGACAGTGGCTGAATGATGCAGTCGTCTAGCCTACCTATACAGTGGTGCCCCGCTAGACGCTTACTCCGCATGACGTCAAAATCGCTTAACAATGACATTTAGCGATTGAGATCGCTAAACAATGATTCCAAAAGGGAAAATCCACATTACGTTGATTAGGAGCCAGCTTCATGAACCGTTTGTTCGCTATACAATGATTTTTCTGGTTCCTCGCCCGCCAAGGAGACCGGGCGTCCGAGGTTGGTTCACTGGCGGTGGCTGGCACACCCCTTCCCACCT